CCCCCGGGTCTCAGCCCCCTTTCTCTGCCGCAGGTGAACAACCTCATCTGGCACGTCCGCTGCCTGGAGTGCTCCGTGTGCCGCACCTCGCTGCGGCAGCAGCACAGCTGCTACATCAAGAACAAGGAGATCTTCTGCAAGATGGACTACTTCAGGTAGGACGGACGGGCCGGGAGGGTGCAGCTCCGCGCCGAAGCCCCGGCTCCGGGGGGGATGCTCAGCCCCTGGAGAGGCCGGGTCCGCTCCGGCGCTGGCGGGGAAAAAGGTTTGAAAGAGCCGGCGGGGTCCCGGGAGCATCCCCAGGGAGAGGCGTCCCCTCGGGGCACGGGGGGGCTGGGGACAAACCCCCTCCCGGAGGGGTTCCTGACCCCCCCTGCGTCCCCCCAACCGGGACACCCCGGCTCCGCGGGGATGGCGCGGCGGGGAATTGTCCCGTCGCCGGGGGAAATGCGGGTCTCACGGCGTCGCCCCGGCTTCTGCCCGGGAGGTGACGGTGCGACCGGCGGCACCGGCCGGCCTTTGGAACCCGCTCCCCCCGGTGCCGCATCGCAAACGGCGGAGCGTCCTCGGCCGGAGGGTTTTAACGGAGCGAAACAAATTCCCGGCGGCGCAAGTCCCCGCGGCCGGGCCGGGGCTCGCCGGGCGCCGTCGGGCTCGGTCCCGACCCGCCTCCCCCGGGGAGCGCGTCCGGCCGCTTCTGGCCCCGGCAGCCTTTTGGGTTTAAATCTTAAATCGCGATTTATTTATTTTTTCCCCCCAAATTGAGAGGCGGGAGGGGACGGCAGATCCCGAGCTCCTCGCTGCCGTTTAACTAAATCTCCGAGCCCGCCGCCCTGGCTCTCCCCGTCCCACCAGGATGAGGAAATGCCGTTGGCCCCGGGAGGAAGGAGGCCGGCGGGCGGGCAACGAGAGTGACCCCGGGGAGGGCGCGGGGGGCTCGGCCGCATCCTCCCGCCGCGGGGCTGCCTCCGCCGGCCACGGCTCCGCGGGCAGGGCGTGCTCGGGAGGCAAAACCTCAGAGATTTCTTTGGCGTTTGTTATTGCGGGGGTCTCCAAACGCTCCAAACTCCGCGGCTCGGCCCCGGTGCGGTTCCCGGCGCGGGGTGCGCGGCTCCTCGGGCTCCGTCCCCGCGGGGTCGCGGCGCTCCCCGTGCTGCCCGGTCGTTACTATTATAATTATAATTATTATTATTAAACTGCCTTTTTTTTTTTTTTTTTTTTTTAGCAGTTCTTTTTATTAAGCATTTAACTTAAGTGCAGTCTAAGGATACATTCCTGCAATTGGATCCGCATAGATTGTTCTTTGAGAAAGGTTCCTGCTTTCTTGCCTGCATCTCTGGAAACGTAAGCACGGACCTTTCCAAGGGCGGTTTGAAAGTGGCGGCTGGAGCTCTGAATTGCCTTCCACAAATCCAGGGAATAGGGAATATCAGCTCCTCAAAATGAACCCGTTGAGTTAGAAAGCCCCGAGCGGCGGCAGCTCCCGCCGGGTGCGGGGTCTGTTCCCGCCGGGTGCGGGGTTTGTTCCCGCCGGGCGCCGCCGATGCCCGAGGAAAACTAAAACGAAAATGGGTGCAGGCGCCGCGGGACCCCCCCAGCTCCTGGGCGGCCGGTTCCGGGGGCGGGGGGGCTCCCAGACCGCGCTTCTCACTTGCCTTTTTTTCCTGCAAACTGTCTTTTTTTTTTTTTTTTTTTGGTCACTTCACCGAAATTTCCTTCGCTTTCAAGTGAAAGGTTTAGGGAAGTCCGCGGGGCCGTTGTGTTGCTTCAGGGCATTTTCAGCGGTTTTGGTGAATCGAGAACCGTTCCGGTGCCGTTAGGATTTTTAAAGCACGGACCTTTCCAAGGGCGGTTTGAAAGTGGCGGCTGGAGCTCTGAATTGCCTTCCACAAATCCAGGGAATAGGGAATATCAGCTCCTCAAAATGAACCCGTTGAGTTAGAAAGCCCCGAGCGGCGGCAGCTCCCGCCGGGTGCGGGGTCTGTTCCCGCCGGGTGCGGGGTTTGTTCCCGCCGGGCGCCGCCGATGCCCGAGGAAAACTAAAACGAAAATGGGTGCAGGCGCCGCGGGACCCCCCCAGCTCCTGGGCGGCCGGTTCCGGGGGCGGGGGGGCTCCCAGACCGCGCTTCTCACTTGCCTTTTTTTCCTGAAAAATACGAGTTGGATTTATTTTTTGGGGGAGTGAGTTGCCGTGCGGCGGGAGCGGCAGCGCCGGGAGCCGGGAGCGGGCGATGGGTGGCCCCGCTCCCCCCTGCCCGGTCCGTGGGGCTCCCGGCGACCCCCGGCCGAGCCTCGGGCCCGTTTCCCCGAGGGGGCAGCGGGCGGGGGTCGCTCCCGCCGCCTCCGGGGGCAATAGCGGCGGATCCCGGCGGGTCGAGCCGCGCCGTCGGTGCCGGTCTGCGGCCGGAGCCCCTTCGCCGGGGCGGGTCGGGGCAGAGAACCCACGGTAGCCCCCTGGCAATCCCGGCTCGGGGGCCACTCGCCCGACCCCTGCCTTCGGGAGCATCCTGGCCCGCAGCCGGGCGAGCCCGGGACAGCCGGGATCCGAAGGGAAAATCTGACTCTTGGGCTTTTTAAAATTTTATTTATTATTTGCTGCGGATGAAATGTGTGGGTTTTTTTGTTTTTGTTTTGTTTTGTTTTTAAAGCAAAGCAGAAACCCCGTTCTAAGGCGTGCGGGTCTTTGGAGCCAAGGCAGAAGGGAAGGGGCAGTGGGATGTGCTCTGCGTGGAGCTCGGCGGCTTTCATTGCGCCAGCGCTAATTCCTGGCAGCCGGGGCTGTTGGGGGGCAGCCGGGGCTGTTGGGGGGCAGCCGGGGCTGGGGGGCTGTTCAGGGCACTGCAATGCTGCCGGGTGGGCACTGCTGCCCGACGGTGGGCGAGTTTTGGCCTGGTCTGTCCGACCTTCCCTTCCCCGTTGATGTGAGGGGCTGTGTAAGCGCTGGCGCTGCCGTCACTCTGCGGCCTCCTGTGCGTTTTTAAGCAAACGTTGCTGTTTCCTGTGTCTTGTCAAATAATTGCATTTGGCATCCAGGGCTCCAGCGCTTCGAGGAGAACCAAATTAAAATTGGAGCTCATTGAGCAGAACATTGTGTTCCCGGGCGATGCGAGGGCTGCTGGCGGCCAAGCTCCCGCGGCTCCGGTCGCGGGGAGGCCCGGTGTGATCCCGGTGTGATCCTGGTGTGACTCCTGCTGTGACACTCGTGGCTCTCAGAGGCCCGGTGTGATTCCTGCTGTGACACCCGTGGCTCTCTGCCTCGCTGGGCAGCCCTTGGGCACACGAGCGTGGGGTCGCTGGCCCTGGCCTGTGTCCCTGGGGGCTGGGACAGCAAAAGAGCTGTGCTGTGGACGTACCAGCACCCACAGCCCAGCTATGGGCCAGGTGGTCTCTGTCACCTCTTGCTGTTGTGCCCCACTGGGATGATGCTCCTGCTTGAGCACTGCTGTGGCTCAGCACGGAGGTGGACTCTCTGTGACAACGCGCCGCTGGTCTGTTTTGTGATTTAGGGTGATGTCTGGAAGCTGTATCTGCCTTGGGGGGGCTGTTTTAGGGGCTTCCTACAGAGTGAGTTCAGGAATGCTGGGGATGGGGACATTTGGGAGCCGTGGCCCTGGGAGCAGGGTGTCCCTTGCCCTGTCCCTGCAGGTGGGAATGGACAGCAGGGCTCAGGGAGTTGTGGTGCCCGGGTACAAGCAGTGTGTGAGAGCCAGGACACACCAGGGCATCCTCCCTCCTCTGCTCTTCCTGCGCCCCAGATGTTGCGGCCGCCCCTGGGGGAGGCGGGATGAGTCTTTCTGGGATGAGTCTCTCCGGGATGAGTCTTTCCTGGTAACGCCGTTGGCAGTTTTCATCTCCTGGTGCTAACGGCCGTGGAGAGCTGGCAGCATCTGCTCACCCCACCACAAACCACGCTCACGGAGCCTGAGCCCACGGCTCTGGCAGATGTTGGTGATGCCCCGGCGTGTGCTGCAGAGCTGGGCTCAGGGAAAGCACCGGCTCTGCATCTCCTGCTGCAGTGCAGCCCCGTCCCCATCCCCACCGGGCTGCTGGCAGGAGGCACAGGGAGCTCTTCACCTGGTGCCCTGCAGCCCCCAGTGGACGGGGCTTTTTGGGCTATCGCTGCCCTGCGAGCTCGGTGAACTAAAGTCTGTTTTATCTTTGAGCCGTTGTTTGCAGTGGGGACAGGTCAGGTCAGCCTGCTCGCAGGCTTTTCTCTCCCCGTCCCTGCAGTGGTGGTCCCTGTGGTGGTGGTCTCTGTTGGGTGACAGCGGGTGCCCAGCCCCAGCTCAGCCTGGTTTCTGCAAAACCTGATCATTGTGGTTCATGCTGGAGGCAGGTGTTGGGCAGGAGCCGCAGGCGCAGCCTCGGTGGTTGCTGGTGCCGCAGCCTCCGTGTCTCCGCCTCGGCCTCTTGCAGGGGCTGCTCGTGCCGGGGCTCTGGGAGGGGGGACAGTGGCATCAGCCCCTGCCTGCTCTCGGCAGCCCTTGCCCCACTCCCTGGGAACCAGCCCCAACCTAGATGGGGGGACACCACGCTGTGTGTCTGCTGGGTGCCCCCCCAGACCCCAGCCAGCGTGTGATGAGGATGGGATGCGTGACCTTTCCTGCGTGGTGCCCTGTGCCTCAGTTTCCCCTCGGTCCCAGAGGTGCAGGGACGTGCCCCCCCTCCTCGTGCTGTGCCCCCCCTCCCCGCAGCAGGCTGTGATTCGAGCGGGGAGCAGCGATTACCACGTGCCATTAGCTCGGTGAGCCTGCCCCTCGTTTGATACCGTTCAGCAAGTACGACTGTTTACATAGCACATTGTTCAAAGTAATTCAATTTACAGGAATGATCTTTACTTCTAAATAAAAAATTAATACAGTTCTTTTGTTTGTGCGTTTATATAAACTAGCTGGCACACAGTCAGTTTACAATGTTCCCATCTGAAGTAAATTAGTGAAGTCTCTTAGCTAAGTCTCTGTATAATTTCAGCACAGAAATATCCTCTCTAAGGCAGCCCTTTTAGGTTTTTTCTTTTTTTTTTTTTTTTTTTAAATTTCAGCAGGCTTTAATTTATATCTCAATCCTCCATTTCTAGAACCTGTGTTACTGGGTGCCCAGATATGAGAATATGCAGTTGATTAACTCTACATTTGACTGGTGTTAAAGGATTCAGCAATATCAGACTTCTGCATACCTGTATTTTTTAATTTAGTTGTACCAATTAATTTTTATTACATTTGCCTCCCG